CCAAGTCTGACATCGGCCTAATGGTGAGAATAGCACGACTGACTTGGACCGAATCCGATCCGAGTTTCGACCACGGCCTAAACGCATCGAGAGCGATTGCACTTTCCACCATTCCGCATCTGGCCGTCCTATGATTAAAACAACGGCACTGTATACGATCTTTTAGCATGCGATGTGGCATTCCCGAACTCTTGCCTTTTGCCAGTCCACGTTACCATTCATCGCAGTCAACGACGAAACAGAATAGGTTACAGTATATCTTCGTGCAGGTGAGGCTTGGTTTACTTGGAAACTAATCGCTTCCAATGAGTTGGGAACAACCCACACCAACTTTGCTTTGAAATACAAAGAATCAGCCAACACATCGCCAGGAACCAACTAAGGAACCCAGCATTGAGTTCATAATAAATCGAGTAGACGAAGAGGTGGGGTGCGCACATTCACACAAACCATATAAGCTTGAACCACTCTTTTTTCAATGAACATCTAAAACTTTTAAGGTGGGCACGGTGAAATAGCTTGAACCTTCCTCCCACGGTAGATTGACGAAAACAATTTCCGGCGCTATCGCAAGATAGGAGGGATTTTGGTGGCTATTCAAAATCGCATGAAACATCTCCTTTTGTTGAAAATGGGACTCAGCCTTAGGCAGGAGAGAGAACTCCAAGGTGCGTGAGCCATTTCAGTTTCCCCCGGAGTTCTGCTCCCTAGGCTTAGTCTTGAAGTATGCCCCCGCATGTTGCGATAGCCCCGCTTTTCTTTCACCAAATTAAACCGACGCACTTTTCGGTAACGCCCATCTCGGTGCACTATTCCCCGCCCACCATGGGTAGCGCTGAATAGGTGCTTTTGGTCCTTGTCTACCCATTCCAAGTTAGACCAGATCCCTGGAGATGAACATGAAGCTTCAGGCAGTTCCAAATTTCATCACGGACAGACAAATTTACTGACATGCCGAACTGCTGTTCCCCTCGAATGCCTTCAGCGCATGCCCTGCCCACCTTGGATGGCTTTGCTCCGTGTACCCCGACTCATGCCCCCCCGTGGGTGTGGGCTGTAGCTCAGCAGGGGTATGTTACGAAGTTATTACGGGCTCATGCCACTCCTATCGAGATTTGGTTCTTCTGGGTAACGCTGCAGGTTAAGCCGGCTTTTCTACAGTTTCAAGCAGCGAGATAGGTAGGCAGGTAGGTAGACGAACAGATGCAGGGAGCCAATGAAAAGGCAGTCCACCTCCAATTGGATCGGAAGTCGTCACCCTATTGCTAAAGCCAAAAGCCGGATACTAAAGAAATTCGGTGTTATATTCGAGTCTATTGAATAAGTTCATAATAACCTCCTACACGGGTGAATTAGGGAGAATCTGTCATGGGCAGGTGGTGCAAGTTTCGTACCAAATTACTCTCTCGGTGGATCGTGCATGTCTGAAAGGCTCGGCAATGGTCGGCAGAGGCCTTGTGGCATGTAACGATCTCTCTCTAACGGAACTGTCCATCATGAATCGCGATTGCCGGAAAATAGGCGGCTACCCAGGCTGGAGCAACTACGACAGCCTTCCTTGAACTCCACGTCCATTGAGAATGATGTCATATTCTGAACACGGTCAGAGCAGTGAAAAGGGCTTGATTCTGCTTTTATGTGGACGTAAGGCTTCCATCAACGGCGTGGTACTCTGTGTGACAAAATGTAACGTTTGCTGATGCGCGCCGCGGCAACTTTTTTCGCCTTTTCTTCACAAGCGACCCCTTGTTCTCTACTTCGATTTCGATCGGAAGTGTCGACCGAGTTGATTTCGTGCTTTTCTTTAGGACAAGATGTGCGCTTTACGATATCCTTCGACGCTTTGGTCAGTACAAGGGGAATTTAGGTGGTAGTCTGTATAGTATTCGATAGATAGGCAGTTAATCTGTCAGGGTTAATCCCAAAGAAAGACCAAATTGCCCTACATTTTTTCTTTGCATCCCAAACCAGTAAAGAAAAAGATTGGATCGCATACCAACAGCTTTGCGATAATCACTGGGAAGCATTCCTGCAAACACATCGCTATTTGTAGCTCCGGTCAGGTGGCTGTGAATGACGAAGCTCTTCTGAATGGTCGCAAACGAGATCTGGCCTTTCACGACGTCATAACATTGTTAGAAGGTGAGTTCAGATAGACTTCCTTAGCTTCAAAAAACTGAAATTTGTTCACTCCTAATAACATTTGGTTATCGGGATGGTACTTTATGGATTACCACTCCCTTGAATCCTCTAATGAGCGCACTCCTTGAATCGAAGTGCTCGAAATGCGTAGGATGGACGTCATACGATCTCGGAAACATAGGGAAAGGCACTGGACATTCGATTGAGGTCGTCCACCTATGAACATGACGCAACGACCTAGCTTTTCTGTATTAAAAGAATGGGCCGGATAAGTGGGTAATAATCATAACCGAGATAAGCCGTTTGGACAGAGCGAGCACCCTGAAGTAAGGCGTGAATTACGACGTTCCTGCCGCAATCACGTACATTGCGCTCGCAGCGACGCGCTTTCTGCGGTAGCCATTCTGAAGGTCATGCCAACAACGACGCTACCCCTTCGGTCCAGGGCAGCAATCCAAAAATGGTCGAGCGTCGCAGCGTACGCTCCGCCGCGCGGGCGGGGAGCCTGAGCGCCGCGCGCGAGCGTGTGTCCATCCTCCACCTCCTATATGAACGGCGCTTAGTACAGTTGGCGAGTTTGCTCGACGCGTTCTCTCTTCGTTGAGAGCGCAGAGAAAACGAGGGCGAGCACACGCGTCAATGCGTCGCGCATTGTACGTGACTACAGCAGAACAATATAATTCACGCCTTACTTCGGGTGCTCGCTCTGTCCAAACGGCTTATCTCTTCGTAAACTTATTCCGTATCGCATAGCGAACTTTCTTTCACAGCGCTCCGTCAGATCGAACAAATATGAAGCGGACTTACATTTGATAAAACACAAAGAAATTTAAACGAATAGGGCAAGGAAAAAGGCGGAAAAGCCTTAGTTCCGTTGAAAACATGCGAACCATCAAAGCATTCTTGTGATACCCTCTGTTCAGTAGAACAGAAGCGCGTCGAGAACGGAACACACACCACAATTGTGACGACGGGCTCCAAAATAAATCTGGTAACTAGTAATTCATGGTGATAGCTGGTTCGTTGTAAGATGAGAGTTGTAATTAGAGACACTTCAATATGATAGAATACAACTGCAGCAGGCTAATCAGATCACTGTCAGAAGACACATACACTTTGCGGAAGCCGTCGTCATTTGTGGTGTGTGGTCTGCACTCGTAACGCATCTCGTTTTGTGAAACAGAGGGTAGATGTTTCTGAAAGGGTAAATTAGCCAATAATTCTTTATTCTTGGCCTAGACATAAAAAATGCCCACTGTAAGACGAAAAAATAAAAATAAAAGCCTTGCCGCGCAAACTCAAATTAACGTCTCATAAAAAAATGTTTAGGGCCACGTTGTATTCGCCTGACGTTCAGTGAGAAGCAAGGTATGTATAGTCAAAAAATGTTACAATAATGCCTCCCGCTTACCAATTTCCTCCAACATAATCGGTTCATAAACGAAAGTCTTGCTGTCGTGTTCTCTTATGAAAAATCTTCAGTGGAAGCTTACCTGCGCCAGTCCGCCCACGCATCATTTTGAAGGCAGTGATTGTGACTAGATCCCTCAACCGGGTCAACTGTCTGCGTCACGTTGAACCGATTCGAAAAGGGGGGAGGGGGGGGTGGGGATATACAGGGGGGGCCAAAAAAAAAGACATTTTGCCTCCACTTCCAGATGGATTTAAGCACATTTTACTCAACTCAGACCGAACGGTTCCAACTTATTATTAAAGAGTGCATTCCATTCTATAAGAAAATCTTCATAGTGGCCACGTACGTGGACGGCATCAGAAGAATTAGCCCTGGAAACATGGTGCACTGGTCGATCTCAATGGGGTCTTCGAAGGATCGTGTACCATAACGACCCTTACTGGAAAGCTAGTTCCGAGGGGATTTGCACAGTGGTAGCTAATGCCTCTAGAAAACTATCCAACATTAAATCGATTCACGAAATTGCGTAAGAGCTTCAGGCTGAAGCTCTTACGGTAGACCTCCTTGAGCCTGACGACGGTGACAGATGACGTCATATTCTGAAGACGGTGAGGGCAGTGAAGGAGGGCCTGCGTCACTTATAGGGACACTTAGGGAATACTCTGCTGAGGAACTCCCGTCAACGACGGCAATCTCTGCGAAGAAAAAAGAGCCGAAGTCCGACATAGGCAAAATGTCTTTTTTTTTGGCCCCCCTGTATACATACCCCCCCATCATTCCACGTCCACGGCACCATGAGGTGAGCCGCCAGCCGTGTTAACGATATCCCATCTCTATCATGGAGTTATTCATAGGCAACGATAACTTGGCCACAGGGATCGAAAAATTCTATTGGCAAACCGATTAGGCATTCACTCATTTCCCCCCTATTTCACCAACATTTCCACTGCAACATTTCCTAGGGGAAGCTTATACGCACCATAAAACGGCAAAATTTTAGCGCGCCAACAACCTGCACCATCACTTCCCTTACTGTAACTCTTAAGCTACCTCGCGAAATACGAGCCCCCAACACCCTTCGTTGAACTTTGTCCAACGCACGGTTGACCCCGCTCTCAACCCGTCCGAAGCTGGGACTGGGACCGCCTCCCAACGCTCTTCCACCCTCCAGCTTTTCGCTTGATGGTCAATGACGTCATCGAAACTGCACCACCCTCCAGCCATCGTGATCGCTGCCTTCAATCCCCGCAGGCCCTAAACACTAATTTTCTACCAGAATTATGGCCCAAGAGTTAAGGGTACGATCAATGTCATACAATTTGTGTAGAAGCTCACTCATTCTTAAATAGGGGAGAAAACTGTCACCTAGTATTGAAATGTCCACGAGTTAAAAAGTTGTTTACATTGTCTACTTCCGAGTTAAAAGTAACCGTTACGTAATAACTCTTTACCACCGGATGAATGTATTAAAATGAAATAAAGAATAAATAAACTGCTCTTGCACTAAGGTGGCAAGACTGCCCCGAACACAAGTTTGAACTTACTCGTTGTCTTGAAATTTGAGAACAGGTGAGGCCTTATTTGTGCCGCTTGAAAACATTGTCTCAATACAAAATAAGAAACTCCAGTAGGGGCAATAAAGTTGACGATAGAAATGCGTGGTTGGCACGCGACTCTTTTGATATTCCATAATCGAATAGTAAGTTAAACAGCTGGATACTCACTTCGGCGATCTCTTGTCATGAAACTGTTTACATAACTGATTTCCAACGTGAACATTTTGTTTACATATAAGGTATCGCCATTTTTAGCTGGAATAATCGACGACTTGCGCCCATATCTTGCATGGGAGTCCAGTTCGTATGCTCACGTTCGATATTTGGAGGAGAAAAAGATCTTTTCTATCGGAAGTGATCGAGGTGATCTTCCTCAACTTCAGTAGGGACCGCATACTTAAAGCAACACTCCCAGGTTGAATTTGTTGGATCACAGCGGTCGATAATGGATTTTTGGATGCCAAGTTGATCAAAAATAAAAAAGAAGCGAAGAAAACCATCGATGAGGCCGTAAAACGAGGATTCCCTGACTTAAAGGAATCTTGCGCGGAAAATTCTTGCACTCTTTCCTAACATGAATATGTCAGTTGTGATCACTGGAAATAGCACACAAAGTTTCACGCATGAAGATTCGGTTTCTGAAGAGAAACAAACGTACAAAAACTACACGTTATGGACCATCGAAGGACCAGGAGGCAGAGCCAGGCGAGGCATGGAAAGAAGACGGCGTTTGGCCGGCTACGTACCAGGCGACGCAATGAGAGAATCGGGTTAAAGCGCGCGATTTCGGAGAGTGGAGACAAATCGATCGATGGAATAGGATGGAGTAGAAGTGTAAGATGTGAATGCAACGAAGCAGAAGGCCAGAAAGAGCTTCTAGTGAATGCACTCCAAGAACCAAGTTTGAGCATCCCCGTCGCCAGCATTCGTGAAAGACGTCCGTGGGCAATTCGAACGCGTAGCAGCCTTTTCGAGTTTTCGAATTTCTAATCAAAACGAAAGCAATACTTCAGTTCTTTTCACTATTATCGTGGATAATGAGTCTCAAGCCAGTGATTTATGGCTGAAATAGAATCATGATTTTTCCGCGCAAGATTCCTTTAAGGCAGGGCGAGCCGGACGAGTTGTGCGGACCTGCTGCTTCAAAGTTTAGCTAACCTGCGCGTATTTGAATTAGCCGCTACGCCCAATCCACGTTGCGTGTCATGGTGTGTGCGCAGCGTAACTCGTCCAAACGCCAAGACTCCCCGCTAAGCCAAATGCTGACTTTGTAAGATCCTAGCTTCATTGTTGCGCACTTTCGAGCCATAACAACGGTACATCGGTGATACTCCTGCGCTACTTTCTCCCACCATCAAATAGATTCCTCCGCTGGGGGTGTTGCTTTGAGTGGACAGTATGTCTAAGCATGCAACACAGTTGAAAAGAGGCTTTTTCAGCATGCGATGTTTCGCTGCCAACGCCACATTTGGCCGCCAACCATGCCACAGTTGTGCGAAATATTTGCAGAGGAGTGGTTCAATTTTCTGTTAAACCAGCATTTTCAAGGCACGAATTCGTCCGTTTAACTTCAGTACTTACTGGCCGCTCCTATTCGTTTGGATTGAAAGATCAGAGAAGGATAAACCACTCTCAGGTCACAGATCCCTTCCTGGGTCCACGTGTTAAGGTCCCTGGTTTGCTGCCAAGGAAGAAGCTTATTCCGTTCTCCAGAACTACCACAGAATACGGGTGTATCCTCTAGGACTAATCCTAGGAGGGGCTGCAACTTCGGAGAAAATGGAGTTCATTCACGCAACCTGAAGCCTCTTCTTCTCCTCACCCCTCCGCCCTCCTCCCAGCCTAAGAAGAAGCTCTACTCTGTTTTAAACGCATTGCCACCACAATGTCCCTGTATCTTGCGATAGCGCCCTGATATCTTTTGCAGTATTATCAGCTCTGAGAAACTACAAAGTTTTTCCTCGCCTGTTCTTTGACCCGACTGCGAAGCCGGGTTGAATTATGAAGCCAATTTTTCCTATGTGGCTTATTTTTTAGTATTCACTACTTCAGGAGAGCAAATGTCTTCGTGAATGGTGTCCAAGTTTCCAAGCGAGGCACAAAAACTCTCGCAAATGGAGATATAGTTACCGTATCTAAAGGTTAAGTACTGGCTTTGTCACATTTCTGTTAACAGGGTATGGGATATTTGCTAACCCGTTTCGCGATGAGTTCTGTTTGCGCAAGGCCCACCCAAGCTTGTGGGTTCAAAAGAGGAAGAAAGTGCAAGCAATATTCATCATTGCTATCTTTTGACGATTGTGCTGTTCAGATCCACAAAGTGTGAAATTCCGGTTCAACAGTGGAGACGGCTCCAAGGCACGCACGACTGCTGCAGGTGCTTCAGCAAAGGCCTCCCCTACTCGGAGTCTGTCCAAGTCCAGCCGTAAGTACGGCTATGTCACTAGCAAGTCTTGGGAACCATAACAGTCTTAATATTTTTAGAGACAACAAATACATTGAGTCCAGCACCAAGCGTGGTGCCGCAGCCGGTTAACGAACGACAACAGGTACGGGGTTTTTGCTTACACGAACACAATCATTACATCTTCTTCGCAGAGCTATTCGTAAGCAGCACTGGCCATAGGAATCGAAAAATTCTGCAAACTGATCAATAAGACTTGCTAGAACGGTGGTGGTCAGAACTCGTGTCAAGCATCCGTTAAAGGCGGAGTTTACGATAAAAGGCAGTCCTGTAGTAATGAAGGTGGAGGTGATCGCTAGTGTAGGATGAAGAAAATATCATGGAAAGCGCCCAAAACCCGAGAAGGAATCCCTTCTTTGCCCGATTGGTACTGCCCTCTTTAACGCTGGCGCTCCTTCTGCGGCTAAACTCAGATGGGGTGGCAGGCTCCGAGAGCGTCTGGCCCATGCTGATCGAGGGACTACTTGAACTAGTCCTCTCAAACTTCTCTTTGCGTTCTCGCTCTGCGGATCCCATGCTCCTCTCCAAGCTGCACTCGCTTGGGCCTCTCCGTTTCTAATCGTTGCTGTGCCTCTACCATCGAGCAGGACCATTGAGAAAAAATCAAGTAGTCCGTAAACCGGCCCTGCTAGGCCGCTGGGTGCATACTCTTTGCCGCCAACCCTTATCGGACCGCACCCTCAAGGGGCCGGCCTGCCCTTTTACTAGATGCATTTCTTCTTCGCCCTGCGAACTTATCGTGGAATCCTGCCTTGAGCGTGGGCGTTGAAGTATGAGAATGCCTTGAAATGGGCAACTCAAACCATTCGAGCTTCCTTTTCTAAAATTGTTACGTCTCCTGAAAGAGCAGAACTAGCCGTTAAACCGTATCACTAGGATTTATTCCTTCAATGGCGGCTGTTCCTAGGTATTGGGAAGAAGTTCGCGCAGTGCACATTATCCTGCTTGAAACCCCAGAGCATTAAGGATTTACGGAGCGCTTTTGGACTACAATAACAACGTTTTAAGAATGTCACCAAGAGCTGTAATAGCCTGCTGTTTCTGGCAATGGTCATCAATATCGTTACACTTGATTGTAATCAACTCTAGTGATATCCCCTTGATCAAGCAGCTCGAGGCAGCTTCACAGTACAATTCTATTCTTCGTGGAGTCTGCTCGGGAGGTGGGAGGGGGAGGGGGGAAGAGCGTACAATAACAACAGTATTTCGGAGAAATGCTGCTGAAAATTCCGCTTACTTGGCTTCTTCTGAAGTTCTAGATTTCGTGATGTTCAGGTTAAATCAGGACGAAATGATACAATCACGTTGACACAACTTGAAGCCAACTTGACATGCTGTGTTTGCCTGAACATATTCTTCAAACCAATCAAGTATGCTGCTCGTTTAAAAGTAAAAGATTATTCAAGTTCATTTCATAAGATATGAGACTAATACCGTAATCCTTACAGCATCGATCCATGTAATCACAAATGTTGCTACTCGTGTGTGTTATCGTGGCTTCAGCGAAACGGCTTTGTTGGGAAATGCCCTCAGGTAGTTTTCGAACTTAAGTACCCTCTGTTTCATGTGAAATTCGCGAAGAAAAGGAACATCGAAACATTGCTAAAAAATGATTCTAACAACTAAATCATAGTACATCGCAGCTGTCCCAGCGTCACGTGCTTGCTATGTGCTATTTTTAAGTTACAAAGTGAAATTACATTTTCTTGAAGACAGAGTAGAATCGGTCGAGCATTCGTCGACCACTCGTCGAGGATTTTCGCCCTGTTCACTCACGCTCTCCCGCGCGGACATTTACTCTCGCCACGTGCGAGCCGTCTGTGCTCTCTGCGCTCTGTTCACTCTCGACGCTACTCTCACACAGTACCGAGACCATATGGTCGAGGATTCCTCGACCGTTATTCACTCTGATTGAGGATATCCTGGCAATGGATGACTACTAGTTGAAAATTGATAGCTAAAACGACCAGTCATACTCATAGGCCGATTTACTGAAGCAGACTGAAATCAACGTTGTTGTTCAGTGTCGGTGCACTATCATGAGTGTGAAACTCGATCCTGTGCTTAACAGTATCGTGGACACAATGTTAAGTATGAAACCAGGTTCGTTTCATCAAGTTCAATCATAATGCTTCAGCAGATTATCACAATACTCACACTCTCCCAATAACTTTTGAGACGGTATTATTGTCTCGAAGATGTTTTGGTATTTGGACCAAGATACAACAATTCGTCGAAGAAGAATTGTTGTATCTTGGTCCAAATCACCTTAGATTTTACACAAATTTGGGTGCTATCGCAATATACGGGGGCATTGCAGTGGCAATGCATTCAAAGCCATATGAAGTATCTCCTTTTTGATGAAAAGGGGAGTAAGCCTTATGTGGAGAGGAGAGAATGCGTAGTGCGTGAGCAATTTTCATTCTCCCCGAAGTTCCTGCTCCCTCTCTGGCTTAGTCCTGAAGGATGCCCCCGTATTTTGCGGTAGCACCCAAAATTAAATACATTTCGATCAGAAAGATCCATAGGCACCACCATAGCCACCACAGACACCGTAATTTATATAAGCAAGCATTACAACGAGAACTTCAGAAACTTTTGGTCTAACTTCATTTTCCTAACCATGTTTCGTTATTTATTTCGTTTCTTCACTTACCCAGTTCCTACCCTTTCCACTACCCCTCTAGTATCACTGAAATCAATACAGACCGTTTGATTTTTCTTTTTAAATCTTCTAAATACATGTTGGTCTCGTGCAGGATTACGACGTAGCAGTGAAGAGATTAGAATGATTGAAGAGATGGAATCTCGAAATATGAGGGAATATCAGAATCTTCTACAGTATTCCCTGACAGTGGATGCTTTTCTTCCACAACCGCGAACACCATGGGTGCCATGAAAACATTTAATAATAATAATTTCGATGAAATGATGAACGACAAAATTTTTCATTACTAACCTTCAATTTGTTAAATACGTCTCGGCATTTCAATTGAGAATTGTATTATGCGTGAAACTAACCAATTTTTGAACAATTTGTCTGATCTCACTGTGTCTTAAAGCAGATTAACCTCTTTCCTAATGTGTGACACCCTTACTGGTATTCGACTCATTTCACGTTGTATTCAATCAGCTATCTGAAGTTAGGTCCAAGAACAAGGCCACATGGCTGGGCCACAGTTTCGGGCTCAGATTGGACGTGTGATTTTTTCAAGAAAACTTAAACAGATAGTAGATTTATTGATTACATGCGGGTAATTTCAATAACTGACCCTTCCAGCTATGAATTCGAAACCATATATCTATATTTAAGTGTCCCATAGCGAAGTTGCACATTGTAAACTGAAACGAGACTTCTCTAATAAATGTTGTCAGAGATTTTTGTTGTATGAAAGCAGCAAGCTCGAAAGAGCCTCAAATGAGGATTCCACGATAAGGCCGAATGTTCGAAGAAGTAAACATACTAATAAAAGCAGGTAACCTCTCAACTTGAGGACACTTGCGTTTCGTACGAATGACGTGCCCTTCAGCGCCCCAAACTTCATACCCCGTCGCCGTCGCCTCCCACACCGAGGTAAGCAACCCGCCCTTAGCGTTTCGCCTGGGCACCTGTATCTGAATTTGGGCAGGGGATGGGGTCCCCCAAGCTGAGCGGTTCCACTTCACCTCGGTGGTATCGCATTAGAAGTACTGACCCACAAGTGGAACCAGCTGCCCAGCAGCTCTGCTCAAAAGCTGTTTGCGCCACCCGTCGCCGTCTTGACTCTAGCCAGTTAACATGAGACGTTAGCGTGAGACAGCAACATTGGATGCAACTCACCACTTCACAACTCAAAGAGAGGAGTCCACTTCTCCGGTTCGGGCCAGTATTTCGGTTTTCTTTTTTCATGTATCACTGACCATCTCTAACATAATTTCCAATGGGCTGGGTTTTCATCGTAAAATCCACCTTCAAGAGCAGCGGGCTGCTTGAAACCGTCCAGTTTCACTGAACAAAACCTAATTTAACGTGCATGCGGTAGAGAGTGGAGCTAGACGGGTAAACAATATCTGGAAGAACTCAATGACTAAGTAATGGTGTGAAATATTGGTTGTTTGTGGCTCTCTTAGCAACAGTACTGGTGAGAAAACCACCACGGAAAAAGAACTGAGCGAGTGACTTAAGAAGTATTCGCACCAGTAAACTATGACAATTTATAAGCATTTCCATGTAAAGGCCATTCCAACAACAAATAACAATATTATATAGCAACAAAATAAAATTTGCAACAACAAAACGAACAACAACCACAGCAACAACAAAAGCGATGTTTCTACTCAGGACAGAATGTGCTAAGGATCTCTTCCACTGAAGCCTCTCCTTCCATTAATGTGACTTTCTGAAAATAGACTGAACTTGATCAATAAATCGAGCTCCACAGAGTACTAGAAAACTACTATGATGGAACAAGAGATGTCTTTACTTTCGTGCATTTCAAATAGTGCACCTCAATGAGACCAAGCTGAAGCTTTGTATAACCAGGCTACCAACCTACCAATCTAAACTTCTATCCATATTAAATCCACAAGACAGAATTACTTCTAACTAATTCACACGCTGAAAATTTAGATTCATAGTCAATAACCCGTGGTCCAAGACGGGTGGAAGACGAGCGGCGCTGCCAACCATGTGTGTTCGTGGATCAGATTCTACATCATACGCCGTGCAAGCTAAGCAAGCCTTCCATCCTTTTGGCAGGTTAATTGAT